GAATTTGGCAGTTCCATAGATTAGGGCCTAATGAATTGATTTCAATTGACTGATTTCCTTATATGAACTGTAACTCAGTAAAATATTTGAAGTTGTTGTATGTTGCGTTTATATTTTTCAGTATATAAATGTGAGACAATAGCAAACACACTGAGCAAATAAATCTAATTAAAGTAAAATGCCATCACCTCCCAAAATGCACGCACACACACGCACACGCACACACACACACACACACACACACACACACACACACACACCACACACACACACACACACACACACACACACACACACACACAGTGGTAGGAAGTGAGAGAATAAACAAACTGTTTCTGTGAGCTGGTCTATTCTATTAAAATACAAAAAGGTCCAATCAAAATGCCTTTCTGTGGCTATAATTGGGCAACAGATCAGAATTTATCAGAATTGGGCTACCTGTGTAAATGCAGCACTGATGCCTGAAATAAACTAACTGTAAACCTGAGGCATTCTGGCAGAGTTCTCTGACATGGGAGTCAACTTTTCCTCCATCCTAGTTTGTCCTCCTTTTTTGGAGCGAGGTAAAAAAAATAAAATAAGGTCACAACAGAAGAAAAAGGGGTGCATCTCATTTTTCTAACAGGTTCTGCCATTCCTTAGGTTACGAATGGTACGTTCTGATTAATGAGACACAGGAGTTTATCTTGACCTAAATATCTGTGCCCTCAGACCATATCTCTTATATGAGCCAGCATTTTAGTGACAGTGGCGTGTTTTAAATGTAAAAAAAATATTTTATTTGGCTAATAGCAGGGCGCCTTGTATTGATCCATGAGGCAAAGGGGTTTAAAAGGTGAGAAAATATTATACTGATCTGATTGATAAACTCAGCTTTTGGCTCAGTAGGACTGCAGCCAGTGAGTTTGACACAGAGTTGGAGATCTTCAACAGCGAACAGAATTCAATGTCTGTAGCCACAAACCAGCTGTTCCTCACTGTTTTACATCTCAGTTTCCCAAATGGGGGGTCAGGTCCTACTAGTGTGTTGTGGATAGGTCCTATCCTGTCGGGTGGTTTTGTTTCGCGTCAAATGGGTCACAATAACATTCAACAGTACTTTCGGTGGCTCAAAGTTCAAAACTGTTTGGGAGTCACTGGTACATCTGAACCAATCGCTCTCTTCTTGAAATTCAAGGTTCCCTGATTATCATATGAACACAGCCAGACTATGTCCCTTGCAGACGGACGGGGTGCCCCTTAAGGACGCTGCTGTGCCACCTCACATCGTATATCTGCTGGAACAAAGTACCATATTTCACCAGGCCTGTCCAGACCATAATTACCCTGACCCTCTGGGGTCCCCCTGCTTGTCCTCTGGAGACACACACACACACTGGGGTCCACTGCCTGCCCGTTTGTCTTAGAGAGAGAGAACTTTGTCTCTCTGCCTCTACCTCCCTTCTTGCCTCCTGCAATCCGTCTTCTGTCAACCATCTCCCCTCACCCTCACCCAACCTTGCCCTTCTCTGACTGTCACCCAGGGCAAGCTGGCAGTGACACAAAGAATGGAGGAGGGAAGAAAGGAAGAAAAAGAAGTGAGGGGAGAGGAGGAATGAGGTGGAGGGAGGGGGGAATCAAACGAGATGGGAGAGGAGGAGGGAGAGGAGACAGAAGAAGAAGAAAGAGAGGAGGAGGGAGAGGAGACAGAAGAAGAAGAAAGAGAGGAGGGAGAGGAGACAGAAGAAGAAGAAAGAGAGGAGACAGAAGAAGAAGAAAGAGAGGAGACAGAAGCTGGCAGGGCATCAGGAGGGTGGAGAGGAGAAACAAGCTGCCAACCACACAGTCCAGTACACACCTGGAAGTACAAACATATGCAAACACACGCACGCATGTTCTCCTCTATATGACTAAATAAATAACACAACAATAACCACATGTTGTAAACACACACACACACAGCTAGCCACTCAAAGACTGTTTTCTATTCATACAACCAGTGTGGTGAAAGCTGCTGGCTTCCTGTGCCCTTCCACCACAGAAACCTGGGGTCCTGGCGACAGTATCCCAACACTCCCAGCATCAATAACTCCAGTCCCTTTGTCTCCCACACAAAGGCTCCCTCCCTCCCCCTGGTTCCTCTTCTCCCTGGTTCTCCCTCCCTCCCCAGTTCCCTCTCCCTCCCTCCCTGGTTCTGCCTTCCCTCCCTCCCCCTCACCCCGGTTCCCGCTCTCCCCGGTTCCCCCTCTCCCTCTCCCTCTCTCCCTGGTTCCCCCTCTCCCTCCCTCCCTCCCTCCCTTGTTCCCCCCCTCGTTCCCCCTTTTCCTGGTTCTCCTCCTCCCTGCCTCCCCCTCTCCCTCAAGCTGTTATGAAAGGAAAGTCAACAGGCGTGCAGAGAAAGAAGTGGAGCTCTAGGACCTAGTTGTATAGGGTGGAATAGACCTAGTTGTATAGGGTGGAATAGACCTAGGTGTATAGGGTGGAATAGACCTAGGTGTATAGGGTGGAATAGACCTCTGCAGGATTGCGTTTCAGTGCCAGTATCATTCACACACACAACAGCCATAAGCTGGATAAATAGTAGGGCACAACACATTGAGTTATTTATAATTGGTGGAAGCAGAATAGAAAGTTATTCAAAACTTTCAATTTACTATCTCAGATCTTTGTCACGGAGAGTTTGAGACAAGGCCAAGTCCCTTAGAATAAAATAGTTGAATCCAGTGTAATAAATACATCTAATAATCTGCAAAGCCCTCTGGAATGATTAACGTGGAATAAAGGCCTGCTTATGCTGAGCAATGGTAACATATACATTATGGAGAGAGAGAGCGAGAGAGAGAGAGAGAGAGAGAGAGAGAGAGAGAGAGAGAGAGAGAGAGAGAGAGAGAGAGAGAGAGAGAGAGAGAGAGAGAGAGAGAGAGAGAGAGAGAGAGAGAGAGAGAGAGAGAGAGAGAACACACTACATACAAAGTACTTGAAAAGCATTTAGCATTGAACAAATTCATTCATTTGATAACCTTTTACATGTTTTATATAAAACCTTTATTCACACATTCACAACTGGCCCCCAAATGCTGTACAACGTCAGAGCAACTCCATGTGCACCAACATGAGAACTCCTGACCTGAGCAGCGAATGCGCAGTCCCACACATCTCTATAGAAGGCAGATACGATCATATCATACACTTCTCATCAGATCTACATATCTCCCAATAATATGGATGGGGTTAACTTATGCATTTAATGCTATTACCAGTCAATCCAAATACAATACTACACTATGAACATATGTGGCGCTGCTAGAGTTGCTGCCCAGTTCAGGAACAATCAGGAATGGCTCCACTAGGATGACGACAGATCAGAGAATTAGTATAAACACACTGTACATAGTTCCATGGGTTTTAGTTGATTTTCTTTCTCCACCTACTAAGGTGGCTAAAGAGAGAGAAGTTTTAATTGTTGTGTGTACAGAACACTGAGGCGTGATCAAAATCTGATGTGATTTTAACAATGCCGATGACAATTGATATGGCTGCCGCTTGCTTTACACACCCTCCGTAACGTTGCTTCCAATGGGAATGTCTCTTCTACTCATTCTAATTCTACGGTTCTTCTCTGCATTCGTGTATAAACAGTTCAACACTTCCTGGAAGATAGCTGGCGTGGTTTGTCACTGGTTAAGTTGCCTCCCGATTATAACACTGGGCTTCATGACTTAACAGTCTGGATGAGTCTGGTTACAAAACAATACCAACATAACCAGGCTGTACAGTACTCCTACAACACACATTCAATATATTACTGTATATTACTATATATTACTGTATATTACTGTATAGTGTCCTATTCACATGAGACTAGTATAGTCCCTTCATATTATGTAGAATAAATTGACGGACACACACAGGGCACGCCATAGAGATACTGTGACGGTACTGAAACAGAACAACCATAGAAAGAAAGCGCTGGCGTTCATGTAGCTAAGTAGCTGTCACACAGAGTAACACCGTAGAACAGTGATTCTCAACTGGTGGATCGCGACCCAAATTTGGGGTGGTGGGAGGTTTTGAGTGGGTCACGGGGAAAAAAAGTATAATAATTCAGACTGAAGTAATTTTTCATATATATATATATATATTTAATTTTTTTATGAAAAAATATCCCGTCTGAATTTAAAACGACTTCAACCAGGTAAAACGTGTGTAGAAATGTGTGGTCCTCTGTAGCTCAGCTGGTAGAGCACGGCGCTTGTAATGCCAAGGTAGTGGGTTCGATCCCCGGGACCACCCATACACAAAAATGTATGCACGCATGACTGTAAGTCGCTTTGGATAAAAGCGTCTGCTAAATGGCATATTATTATTATTATATTATAGAAATGATAATGGATTAAAAAATATATATAATTTCATCTCTGAAAATGTTTTCTTCAATTACAGTATTTTCATTATAGTGCTTTAGCAGCACTATTGGGGTTGGTTTAGTTTAGCTCAAACCAGTGAGTTTAACATTCTTCATCAAGAATATGGGCAAAATGTTCATTATTTACAATGAAAGAGGTGGGAATGTTGTTCCCTTGTCATATACAGTTATTGCTACATTTACTATCAATATAGCATTAAAAAGAGTTTTACAGATTGTCTTTTGGCGATTATTCTTAGCGATGGCGAATATTGGGTCACGACTGAAAAAACCTGGTCCAATTTGGGTCCAGAACCACTGATATAGAAAGATCCATGAGGACAGAGAACAAGTGAGAAGGGAGTTGGGGGGGGGGGGGGGGGGGGGGGGGGGGGGTTAATATAATTTGTAGCAGTCTGAGAATGAAACATGTACAGCGCATTATATTCTCTGTATGTCAACCTCCGCAGAGCAGTCATCAGGCCCAGGCTCTAGCTGATGGTTCTCTGTCATCCCCGGTGTCTCCTCTAGCATCAGTCATCACACTATTCATCATCCACTGGGTGGCTAGCAGAGCCATCTCTCCATTACAAACACATTAGCGTTGGTTGGATAGCACTGGGTGGCTAGCAGAGCCATCTCTCCATTACAAACACATTAGCGTTGGTTGGTTAGAGGAACAAGAGACTTGAGACTGTTTACAGGAGCTCAACCTATTACCTTCTCCTTCCGTTTGGTTTTGGACGGATGAGCACTTGGTTGACATTCAGAATATACAGTACCCTACCTAGTGATGACATTACAGAGAAACAACCCATTACCATCAGCTTTGTCAGATTCCCACCCAGACCGTTCCGACCACAGTGCACACAGTCTGTAAGGTCCACAGCACCAACTCACAGCAAATTCACACACAAACCCATGTAGAGGTTCAGACAGACCACCCGGACCTAGACCCAGACACAGACCCAGATTTAGACCCATCCCCGTTCTCGACATACTCCGGCAGGCTGTTGAGCGCAGCCTCTTCACTCTTGGACTGGAGGGGGAGTTCCCCCTTCCTGGATTGTTTTTTAGTGGCTCTGGACAGCTTCCTCCTGAACGTGTCCCCAGCCAGGAAGTAGAGGACCGGGTCCACACAGCTGTTGAGGCTGGCCAGCCCCCGCGTCACCTGGTAGATGGCGTACACGCGGTTATTAAAGTCACACATGTCCGGGCCCTGGAAGTACAGCCTGGCTCGCATGTTCAGGTTCTTCATCACGTGAAAGGGCAGGTAGGACACAGCGAACACGGCCAGCACGATAATCACCAGGTGGATGGACTTACGCCGTAACGGGGCGTTGTTCACGTCTTTACATATCAGCACCTTGACGATCATCCCATAGCAACCCAGGATGATGATGAAGGGGACGCAGAAGCCGAAGACGGTCAAACACATGCTATAGATGAAGTAGCCCGGCAGCTCATCCTCCGTGGTCGTGTCGTAGCACGTGGTCGCGTTACGTTTCTCCCCCGTCCTGGAGTAGTAGAGGATGGGAGAGATTCCCGCTAGGACCACGACCCAGACCAGGGCGCTGGTCAGGACGGCGTTCTTCTTCTTGAGCCTGCCCAGGGACTCGAGCGGGTGGACCACTCCTGTGTACCTGTGGACACTGATACAGGTCAGGAACAGGATGCTGCCGTACAGATTCACGTGGAATATAAACCTCTGCAGTCGGCAGAGAACGTCCCCGAATATCCAGTCTGTCTTATTAAAGTAGTAGAAGATGAGGAACGGGAGGGAGAGGACGTAGCAGAAGTCGGCCAGGGCCAGGTTGAACATGTACACGGAGATGCTGCTCCAGGGTCTCATGTGGCAGACGAACATCCAGATGGCCAGACTGTTCCCCACCAGGCCGGCGACGAACACCAGGATGTACACGGTGGGTAGGTAGTAGAACTGGAAGCCTGTTCTGGTCAGGGAACATCCCCCCACACCCCGCGTCACGTTGTGGAGATCAGACACATTCAGGAGGGACGTCAGGCTCAGATCTGTCGTCATGTTGTCAGGGAAACATTGGTTATCTTACTGTAATAAAAAAAAAAAAAGAAAAAAAAAGTTCAGGGAGATATTTATCTACATAATGAGTATTTTAAACAGCCCATAACTAATTGACCGAAGTGGATCAAATTCTTTGAATTCCATTTCTTGTAATTTTTTTTCTGTGAGCTCAATGCGCACATTGTGCTGCAGTTTCTCTAGAGATAAATCAGATCATGCCCAAACTGTGCCATGTAGTAGGGAGTTGTAGTTTCCAACAGGCCAATGTACTACATAGTTTACCGCAGAAAACGTGATAATTAACTACAATAACCATAATCCATTGCACAGATACTTGTCCGGTCTGTGTTTCTTTTACACCTGCTACTACGTAAGGGACATAAGAATGTGCGATCAAGAGGTGATACATAGAGAGCAGTTTCTTCACAAGGTACACTATATTTACAAAAGTATGTGGACACCCCTTCAAAATAGTGGTTTCAGCTATTTCAGCCACACCCGTTGCTGACAGGTGCATAAAATCGAGCACACAGCCATGCAATCTCCATAGACAAACATTGGCAGTAGAATGGCCTTACTGAAGAGCCCAGTGACTTCCAACGTGGCACGTCATAGGATGCCACCTTTCCTAACCAGTTCAGTTCGTCAAATTTCTGCCTGCTAGAGCTGCCACCGGTCCAACTGTAAGTGCGGTTATTGTGAAGTGAAACATCTTGGAGCAACAAAGGTCTCAGCCGGCAAAGTGGTAAGGCCACACAAGCTCACAGAACTGTACCACAGATGCTGAATCACGCAGCGCGTAAAAATCGTCGGTCCTCGTTGCAACACCACTATACCGAGTTTCAAACTGGCCTCTAAAGCAATGTTAGCACAATAAGGGTTTCGTCGGGAGCTTCATGAAATGGGTTTCCATGCAAGCAGCCACACACAAGATCCCATAATCGCAATGCCAAGCGTCGGCGGGAGTGGTATAAAGCTCGCCACCATTGGATACAGTATGATAAATGTATGCACTCACTAAATGTAAGTCACTCTGGATAAGAGCGTCTGCTAAATGACCAACAACAAAAAAAATCTGTGCCCGACCTCAATAATGCTCTTGCGGCTGAATGGAAGAATCCCTCAGAATGTGCCCACGGCTAGTGGAGGCTGTGGTACAGCAAGGGGGGGGGGGGACCACTCCATAGTATGGCCCGTGATTTTGGAATGAGATGTTCGACAAGCAGGTGTCCACATACTTTTGGTCATGTAGTGTATCTCTAGCTGAAAATACATGATCTAAGTGATTGATGGTTGGTGTTCAGCAGTCATTAAAGTATGCCTTATTTACTTTGAAGGACTACTAAAATAGTGATTTAGTCAGACAGCATAGGCAGCAGCTCTATAGAGATGATGATGATTTGGAATGAAATAATAAAGTCATAAAATAAATACAAACGTAATATACACAACAACTGAAATATTTTATTAAGTAAAGTAATGTGAATAACTGATGGTTAAGTGATAAGCAGTAATGGGCAGTCACTACCATCACGGGACTTTTATTCTTTATTCTGTTGTTACAGCATTCAACCCACATAATAATGCATAGTGAATTTAATGTTTAAAAAATCGTGTTTGGCAGTGATTCTTTAATAATCCAACCGAAACCGAACAGAGGTCAAAAAGGACTAATCACTCAGCAAAATCAATCTCCCTGCAGCCAATTCGGAAGCCATAATGACTGTAAGTCGCTTTGGATAAAAGCGTCTGCTAAATGGCATATTATATTATATTATTATAATATGCACAGAAATAGCCTAAGCTACACATTGCAAAACCAGCCCAGTTAACTATAAACGTCGATCATACACTAGCCTACTCACCATTGACTTATATCCCACATTCCTACAGCCTTTTGCGGTTGAACAGGTTTCAAACATAGGCTACATACGCAAGAGAACGCAGGGCGCTTGAGACTGTTTCGTCAGGTGTCCCTGTTCGTCCTTCTCCAACAAAGCTCTCCAGTTCTTAAGTTCAGTCGGGTTCGTTCGCTCTTACAGTAAACGTCCACCGTTCGTTGCGCACGACGACACCGGGCACAAGGGAAGACAACTGCGAGCACTCTCTGGCAAGAGAGTGCAGGAATTACAGACGAGGACCTCCACCAGATAGGGTGAAACGCACGCTGAGGGGAGGGGCGACTGCAAAGCTCCCCGAACGCGCTCTTTACTTCCTCTTCCCAAATCCTCATCTGACAAGCCCATTTAAAAACAATATATGCTGCGTTCAACTGCTGGTCGGAACTAGGAAACTCTGACTCTTCAGACTTGTTTACTGTAGGCCTACGTCGATGCTACTGGCAGACTAGTGTGGGTTGTTGATTCTTGGCAGCTACTGAAGATCCTACATGCCTCATTTAGGCTATGGAATGCACACAGGAGAGTAGAGAGCATGTATGGTCGGCACTGGTAGGTTGGAAGCAGATCATGACTATTGTACCGATTGCTTTTTATTCCTTGAAAGGTTGTGCTAGGACTAAACTGTGGCCCAATCCCAAATGGACCCCTATGCCCTATGCCCTATGCCCTATGCCCTTGTGGAGCTCTGAGAGGATTTGACAGGTGTAAGCCGTATGGTAATAGCGCTACCATACCCTCTTATAGACTAGGAAGTTTCACCATGTACATTTATATTTATTATGGATCCCCATCAGTTCCTGCCAAGTCAGCAGCTACTCTTCCTGGGGTTTATTATGGATCCCCATCAGCTCCTGCAGGCAGCGCTATCTGGTTTATTTGTCCATAGTTTTCCAAGGACACATTTCCTGGGGTTATTAGTGATCCCATAGTTTGCAAGGCCATACTCTTCCGGGTATAGGATCCCTTAGTTCTGCCAGCAGTACTCCCTGGGGTTATTAGATTCCATTATTTGCCAAGTCAGCAGCTACTTCCTGGGGTTTATTATGGATCCCCATTATTCCTGCCAAGTCAGCAGCTACTCTTCCTGGGGTTTATGATGATCCCATTAGTTCCTGCCAAGGCAAGCACTCTTCCTGGGGTTTATTTGGATCCCCATTAGTTCCTGCCAGGCAGCAGCTACTCTTCCTGGGGTTATTATGGATCCCCATTAGTTCCTGCCAAGGCACAGTTCTTTCAGGACTACTCTTCCTGGGGTTATTATGGATCCCATTGTTCCTGCCAAGGTAAGCAGCCTATCTTCTGGGGTTATATGGACTCCCATTAGTTCACTGCCAGCAGCTATCTTCCTGGGGTTATATGGATCCCCATTAGTTCCTGATGCCCCATTAGCTTATGACGTTTTTATGGTTTAGTTACCTGAGGGACGTTATTAGTGTCAAGGGAGCTTTTTATGGTCCCATGATTTAGACACAAGTATGTTGCCAGAGGGTTACTAGGGGACCCATTATTTGAGGGAACAATTATCTGGGTTTAAAGATAAGACTGTTCCATTGTACTCGGGCGCCACTCTTCCGGGGGTATATGACCAATCCTGAGACAGCTATTTCTGGTTATATGATCCCCTTAGTTCTCAAGCAGAGCTACTCTTTGTTTCATATGGACTCCACATATCTGCCAAGCAGCAGTACTCTTCCTGGGTTTATTATGGATCCCCATAGTTCTGCCAAGCAGCACTACTCTTCCTGGGTTTATTATGGATCCCCATTAGTTCCTGCCAAGGCAGCAGCTACTCTCCTGGGGTTTATTATGGATCCCCATTAGTTCCTGCCAAGGCAGCAGCTACTCTTCCTGGGTTATTATGGATCCCCATTAGTTCCTGCCAAGGCAGCAGCTACTCTCCTGGGGTTTATTATGGATCCCCATTAGTTCCTGCCAAGTCAGCAGCTACTCTTCCGGGGTTTATTATGGATCCCCATTAGTTCCTGCCAAGGCACCAGCACTCTCTCCTGGGGTTTATTATGGATCCCCATTAGTTCCTGCCAAGTCAGCAGCTACTCTTCCTGGGGTTTATTATGGATCCCCATAAGTTCCTGCCAAGGCAGCAGCTACTCTCTGGGGTTTATTATGGATCCCCATTAGTTACTGCCAAGGCAGCAGCTACTCTTCCTGGGGTTTATTATGGATCCCATTAGTTCCTGCCAAGGCAGCAGCTACTCTTCCTGGGGTTTATTATGGATCCCCATTAGTTCCTGCCAAGGCAGCAGCTACTCTTCCTGGGGTTATTATGGATCACCATTAGTTCCTGCCAAGGCACCAGCTACTCTTCCTGGGGTTTATTAGGATCCCCATAGTTCCTGCCAAGGCAGCAGCTATCTTCCTGGGGTTTATTATGGATCCCCATTAGTTCCTGCCAGGCAGCAGCTACTCTTCCTGGGGTTATTATGGATCCCCATTAGTTCCTGCCAAGGCAGCAGCTACTCTTCCTGGGGTTTATTATGGATCCCCATCAGTTCCTGCCAAGTCAGCAGCTACTCTTCCTGGGGTTTATTATGGATCCCCATTAGTTCCTGCCAAGGCAGCAGCTACTCTTCTTGGGTTTATTATGGATCCCCATTAGTTCCTGCCAAGGCACAGCTACTCTTCCTGGGGTTATTATGGATCCCCATTAGTTCTGCCAAGGCAGCAGCTACTCTTCCTGGGGTTTATTAGGATCCCCATTAGTTCCTGCCAAGGCAGCAGCTACTCTTCCTGGGGTTTATTATGGATCCCCATTAGTTCCTGCCAAGGCACCAGCTACTCTTCCTGGGGTTTATTATGGATCCCCATTAGTTCCTGCAAGGCACCAGCTACTCTCCTGGGGTTATTATGGATCCCCATTAGTTCCTGCCAAGGCAGCAGCTACTCTTCCTGGGGTTTATTATGGATCCCCATTAGTTCCTGCCAAGGCAGCAGCTACTCTTCCTGGGGTTTATTATGGATCCCCATTAGTTCCTGCCAAGTCAACAGCTACTCTTCCTGGGGTTTATTATGGATCCCCATTAGTTCCTGCCAAGGCAGCAGCTACTCTTCCTGGGGTTTATTATGGATCCCCATCAGTTCCTGCCAAGTCAACAGCTACTCTTCCTGGGGTTATTATGGATCCCCATTAGTTCCTGCCAAGGCACCAGCTACTCTTCCTGGGGTTTATTATGGATCCCCATTAGTTCCTGCCAAGGCAGCAGCTACTCTTCCTGGGGTTTATTATGGATCCCCATCAGTTCCTGCCAAGTCAGCAGCTACTCTTCCTGGGGTTTATTATGGATCCCCATTAGTTCCTGCCAAGGCACCAGCTACTCTTCCTGGGGTTTATTATGGATCCCCATTAGTTCCTGCCAAGGCAGCAGCTACTCTTCCTGGGGTTTATTATGGATCCCCATCAGCTCCTGCCAAGTCAGCAGCTACTCTTCCTGGGGTTTATTATGGATCCCCATTAGTTCCTGCCAAGGCAGCAGCTACTCTTCCTGGGGTTTATTGTGGATCCCCATTAGTTCCTGCCAAAGCAGCAGCTACTCTTCCTGGGGTTTATTATGGATCCCCATTAGTTCCTGCCAAGTCAGCAGCTACTCTTCCTGGGGTTTATTATGGATCCCCATTAGTTCCTGCCAAGGCAGCAGCTACTCTTCCTGGGGTTTATCATGGATCCCCATTAGTTCCTGCCAAGGCAGCAGCTACTCTTCCGGGGGTCCAGCAACATTAAGGCAGTTACATACAAGAAAGAATAATTCATGACCTTTTATTTCATAACCCTTTTCACAACACATTACGTGTGTGCCCTCAGGCCACTACTCTACTACCACATATCTACAATACAAAATCCATGTGTACGTGTGTGTAGAGTGGGTGTGTTAGCATGTGCATGTCAGTGGAGGCTGCTGAGGGGAGGACGGCTCATAATAATGGCTGGAATGGAGTCGACGGAATGGCATCAACCACATGGAAACCACATCGTTGATGTGTTTGACACCATTCCATCGACTCCATTCCAGCCATTATTATGAGCCGTCCTCCCCTCAGCAGCCTCCACTGGTGTATGTGTGTGTCTCTTCACAGTCCCCACTGTTCCATAAGGTGTATTTTTATCTGTTTCTACTGCTTGCATCAGTTACCTTATGTGGAATAGAGTTCCAAGTAGTCATGGCTCTATGTAGTACTGTGCGCCTCCTATAGTCTGTTCTGGACTTGGGGATTGTGAAGAGACCTCTGGTGGCATGTCTTGTGGGGTGTGCATGGGTGTCCAAGCTGTGTGCTAGTAGTTTAAACAGACAGCTCGGTGCATTCAGCTTGTCAACACCTCTTACAAAAACAAGTAGTGATGAAGTCAATCTCTCCTCCACTTTGAGCCATGAGAGATTCAAATGCATATTATTAATGTTAGCTCTCCGTGTACATTTAAGGGCCAGCCGTGCTGCCCTGTTCTGAGCCAATTGTACTTTTCCTGAATCCCTCTTTGTGGCACCTGACCACACTACTGAACAGTAGTCCAGGTGTGACAAAACAAGGGCCTGTAGGATCTGCCTTGTTGATAGTGTTAAGAATGCAGAGCAGCGCTTTATTATGGACAGACTTCTGCCCATCTTAGCTACTGCTGCATCAACATGTTTTGACCATGACAGTTTACAATCCAGGGTTACTCCAAGCAGTTTAGTCACCTCAACTTGCTCAATTTCCACATTATTCATTACAAGATTTAGTTGAGGTTTAGAGTTTAGTGAATGATTTGTCCCAAATACAATGCTTTTAGTTTTTAAAATATTTAACTTATTTCTTGCCACCCATTCTGAAACTGACTGCAGCTCTTTGTTAAGTGTTGCAGTAATTTCACTCGCTGTAGTAGCTGACATTTATAGTGTTGAGTCATCCGCATACATAAACACACTGGCTTTACTCAAAGCCAGTGGCATGTCATTAGTAAAGATTGAAAAAAGTAAGGGGCCTAAACAGCTGCCCTGGGGAATTCTACCTGGATTCTGTTGGAGGTTTCCATTAAAGAACACCCTCTGTGTTCTGTTAGACAGGTAACTCTTTATCCACAATATAGCAGGGGGTGTAAAGCCATAACACATGTGTTTTTCCAGCATCAGACTATGATCGATAATGTCAAAAGCTGCACTGAAGTCTAACAAAACAGCTCCCACAATGTTTTTATTATTAATTTCTCTCAGCCAATCATCAGTCATTTCTGTAAGTGCTGTGCTTGTTGAATGTCCTTCCCTATAAGCGTGCTGAAAGTCTGTTGTCAATTTGTTTACTGTAAAATAGCATTGTATCTGGTCAAACACCATTTCTTTCAAAAGTTTACTAAGGGTTGGTAACAGGCTGATTACTGGCTCAAACAGCCGACCATAGGTGGCTTTACTATTGTTGGGTAGCGGAATGACTTTTGCTTCCCTTCAGGCATGAGGGCACACATTTCCTTGTAAGATTGAAGATATGGAAAATAGGAGTGGCAATATTGTCCGCTATTATCCTCAGTAATTTTCCATCCAAGTTGTCAGACCCAGGTGGCTTGTCATTGTTGATGGACAACAATACTTTTTTCACCTCTTCCACACTCACTTTACATAATTCAAAATTACAATGGTTCATAATTTGGTCAGTTATACTTGGATGTTTAGTGTCAGCGTTTTGTTGCTGGCATGTCATGCCTAAATTTGCTGATCTTTCCAATGAAAAAATCTTTAAAGTAATTGGCAATATCAGTGGGTTTTGTGATGAATAAGCCATGTTGCTTGTACCATTGAAATCCTCTCATGGACTAGGACCTAGGGGGTCTCTAGTGTGACTCAGTCTCACCACATAAACAATTTTAATAAATGGTTTTGCAATATTTTTTTTCCTACTATGCTTACAGCAAAATCAAATGGTTCAGTGGAATTCCAGACACATTTGACAGCTGTGCTGAGAGATGTGCTGAGAGATGTGCTGAGAGATGACATGCTCGATGTTTTGGAATAAAAGGTCATATTTTACCACCACTCAGATGGAGAGAAAGTAGCTACCCAGTTGAAACCTCATCCATCATTCAGATGAAAGACAAGGTGTCTGTTTTCACCTTGTAATTATGTTCCCTGTGTCTATCATTATAAAACTAAGCATTTGATTGATATCTTTATCCCCCAGGTCACTTGTGAATGTCTAATACTTGTCTTCTGGCTGTTGGGTGCAGTCATGACAAACAAACAGGTGCTGAATGAAGAGGTGGCCTTTGTTTTGCCTGTGACATTTACAGTCGATGCACCTGAAATGAAAAATGGCAAATGTAATGATATACAATGACGAGGAACTGAATTGATGAATTCACTGTTGTTTCATGGATGCAATAAGAAAAGGGCATGCTGTTTATCCTCATATTTAATTACTATTTCATAGTGTTGCGTTGTCATAGAACTGTATTTTTCAGCAGTAAATTACCTTTCTGTGCTCCCCTAGGCAGAGGTAGTAATATTAATGAGAGGAGAGAGAGAGAGAGAGAGAGAGAGTGAGAGAGAGAGCGAGAGAGCGAGAGAGAGAGAGAGAGAGAGAGAGAGAGAGAGAGAGAGAGAGAGAGAGAGAGAGAGGAGAGAGAGAGAGAGAGAGAGATTTACGGCTGTATGTCAGTTGTCTCTGGTCTTGTAAAATGGCTAAGACAGAAAGTTTGCTGTGTGAGAGCCAAGGACAAACAGAGACAAAATGGCATCAAGCAGGGTGAGGGAGAGGGAAGGAGAGGGAGGGCGAGGGAGAGGGAGGGAGAGGGAGAGAGAGGGAGGGAGAGGGAGAGCGAGGGAGAGGGAGGGAGTGAGAGTATGTGAGAGGGAGAGCGAGGGAGAGGGAGGGAGCGAGCGAGAGGGCAGATGGTAAGCCGTGTAGAGAGTGACTGAAAGGTAATATTGCCATAACGGCAATACGCTGTTATGGAGGACACAACTGTGAAAAAGTGAGAGTTGTGGACATTAGCTATCTAGCTTCCTGAATGATAGATGCATCTACGGTTGACTTTGAATCCTTGATCAAGTTGGTTTAAGCTGTGGTTGCATCTATGGAGAGATCTCACTGAATATAGCATTTACATTATACAATCTTTTGTCTATGTCTCACTGAATATAGCAATTAGATGATAAAATCTATTGATTCAATTAATGTTTTTCCTCATCAATCTACACACCGTACCCCATAATGACAATGTAGAAAATAGTAAAAATAAAGAAAACCCTTGAATGAGTAGGTGTGTCCAAACTTTTGACTGGTACTGTATGTAAATGTGATATTTCCGTTTCTTAAATATTTTATACATTTGCAGACATCTCTAAAAACCTGTTTTTGCTTTGTCATTATGGGGTATTGTGTGTAGATTGCTGAGGGAAAATAACAATTTCATCCATTTTAGAACAAAGCTGTAACGTATCAAAATACGGAAAAAGTAAAAGGAGTCTGAAATACTTTCCGAATGCACCGTATATATCAACGTTCTATGTAAGTTCAAAGTTGTAATGTTGAGATAACCACACAGTGTGGTTTTCGGAAAGTATTCAGACCCCTTGACTTTTTCCACATTTTGTTAAGTTACAGCCTTATTCTAAAATTGATTACATTGTTTTATATTTTTTTGGAATCAGAGGCAGATACTTACGCCCATCACCATCCCAGTCCAGAACGCCCGAAACCCAAACCTACTTGAACGTAACAACTCTTACTGTTGCCCCTAGTGGCCAATTTCCACGTCATCTCCAGACGTCCTCAGACATGGATGGACGTCGAGTACTGACTTGTATCACAGGATCAGCAAGGCGTTAAGGTTATGAGAGGAATGGTTTTCTAAAAACAAAGCCAAGAAAATGGTCTCTGCACCTGTCGCTCCTCACTGCCAAACACTCTGTCCTATTGGGCCTCACACACCATCTCATTCAGGGGGGAGTATCAGGGGGATAACCATAGAGACTCTATACATGCCAGCCTGATCTCAGGTTTTTTCCCCCATGATTTATAGGTAAGGTCCTGTGTTTTGCGCAATCGTGTGACATGACCTTGATTTGAACCTGTATTTTAAAGCTTTTTCCATCAAACTGTCCCCCTTTTCTCTTCATGTCAGATGGTCCATCACAATTGTCAGATAATCGCTGAATTTCTGGATAAAATACAGGATAAAATCTTTCTATGTCACACGATTGCACAAAACACAGGGTGCTACCGGAGCAGGGGAACAGATCACGTGTTGCTATCCTGTAGTTCTGTTCTGCCCTCCAGTAACCCATGTTGGTAAGAGTGAAGAGATGCACGGAACTATTCCAAGCATTCCAACCCTGTCCTTTATAGCGCACACCTTCCCTGCACACACACACCAAGGAGGGGGGAGACAAGGAGGGGGAGACAAGGAGGGGGAGACAAGGAGGGGGAGACAAGGAGGGGGGAGACAAGGAGGGGGAGACAAGGAGGGGGGGAGACAAGGAGGGGGGGAGACAAGGAGGGGGAGACAAGGAGGGGGGAGACAAGGAGGGGGGAGACAAGGAGGGGGAGACAAGGAGGGGGAGACAAGGAGGGGGAGACAAGGAGGGGGAGACAAGGAGGGGGGAGACAAGGAGGGGGGAGGACAAGGAGGGGGAGACAAGGTCTTTTACTTCTCTCTCTCACCTCCTCCCAAACAACCCCACCTTATCCCACTGACTCACCCTCACCCCCCCTCACCCTGACCCCTCCACACCCCGGTACCTTTTGAACTTGACATTCACATATATTTCACATTCACATATTTCACATTAACATATTTCACGTTCAAAGGCCTTTCTATTAAACAGCGATACGATTTACAGAATACACAGAAATAAATGTATTTTTAGAGAAAAAAAAAACTATGATAATGTGATTTGCACAATAGACAGTTGACAGCCTGTGAGATGACAGGGCTTAGTTTAAACAAGGCACATCGCTTTCTTTAACAAGAACCAGTGAATAGACAAATGAACCATGGCCTCGGTGATGATTGAACAGATCCTCCCTGATATTGTCATAATGACAAGTGTGGAGAACAGGGGCCAAATACTATTTGTTTTTAGTCCTGACCTGGCCTGCATTCTTCACTCCCCGCTCCACTGCCCCTACTGACAACCCAATCACCATCGGAGCCGGAATGATCATCCGTGTTTCACAGTTGCTGTCATTCTCATTAGATGCAGTGCAACTGGGCTCTCCTCTCAGCCATGTGGATGGTATCATAATGGAAGGTAGGCAAGGCACAGTACCTCATTAAAATAATTAGCCATTACTGAAGGAGGAATCATTTAATTACCATGATTAGACCCATCCCTCTCTTCCTCTCTCGACCCATCCCTCTCTTCCTCTCTCGACCCATCCCTCTCTTCCTCTCTCGACCCATCCCTCTCTTCCTCTCTCGACCCATCCCTCTCTTCCTCTCTCGACCCATCCCTCTCTTCCTCTCTCGACCCATCCCTCTCTTCCTCTCTCGACCCATCCCTCTCTTCCTCTCTCGACCCATCCCTCTCTTCCTCTCTCGACCCATCCCTCTCTTCCTCTCTCGACCCATCCCTCTCTTCCTCTCTCGACCCATCCCTCTCTTCCTCTCTCGACCCATCCCTCTCTTCCTCTCTCGACCCATCCCTCTCTTCCTCTCTCGACCCATCCCTATCTTCGTCTCTCAACCCAACCCATCTCTCTCTCTATCTCTCTCTCTCTCTCTCTCTCTCTCTCTCTAAATTCAATTTAAAGGGCTTTATTGGCATGGGAAACACATGTTAACATTGCCAAAGCAAGTGAAGTAGATAATAAAACAAAAGTGAAATAAACAATAAAAAATAAACAGTAAACATTACACTCAGAATCTCCTTGAAGAGCGAGAGAAACAGTCAGAACAGCCAATCTATTCAGTTACATCCTTTCTCTGTTTAGTTATCTTACTTCCTACCACCTTCTGAGTTGTCACATCCCCTGCCTCAGTCAGCCTTGGGTGGGGTTGAATGGGGAACATTGACAGACAGGTGAAATGCCATAAGCATCATCCTCTCCCCTACACTTTATATGAGACTCTCTCTCTGTATTCATGTTGTTCTCATGACCAACTATTTGCCATGGCAACACTCCCAGCTCTGACCTCTCATTTGTCCCAGGCTGTGATTTTGTTATTCTTTAAAAACGTCTGAGAGCAAAAAAACTGTTTATCCTAGTTTCTAGCATGACTTATAGCTTGGCTGCCTTGTTTACCCAGAGGACTTAACGCTTCACTGCAATCCCTGGTTGATTGGGGTGATTATTCAAAATGATAGACAGGTCAAAGGTCATACTGACTCTTAAGATAAGAGCAAGGGATTAAATGATTATCATATCAATAATAAACCCTGTCTGTATCTGCCAGGCCCTTTGGGACAACAAAAAATATGCTGCAGTTATTCACTAAACTGGTGGTTCAGTCCTGGACATGACCCCCTGGACATGACCCCTGGACATGACCCACTGCTTGGTTTGGATTATGGGACTTGGAACTCTGGCTGTCATTGAACTTGATTTGACCCTCCACCCCTTAGAACCGTGTTGTAAACAAGTAAACATGTAGTGTAGTGCACATAAAACAACAGATAAACACTTTTGTCAAAGTCAATGTCCGCAGCTCTGTTGAATATTTACTGTAAATAAACTTCAGAACGGATCTACATTTTTCTGTTATCTCAATGTCAATGTCCGCAGCTCTGTTGAATATTTACTGCAAATAAAACTTCAGAACGGATCTACATTTTGTCTGTTATCTCAATGTCAATGTCCGCAATTCTCTGAATCCACTTGAATGGACAGATAAGCGTTTGTTTTTATAGCGAAGGGGTGAGAACTTTTGTGGTACAGTGTTTCTATTCCACGGTTTGTGACTTATTTACAGATGTCATATCTTAATGTGATCGCTCTGTTGTCGCAGAGAGTTGTAGTGTATTCAAGGTAAAAAAAAAATACCTGTCTGGTTCTACCTGTAATTGTTGGAGTGGGGTGAATTTTAGTTGTTTACAAGCTGTATGGGAAACTAAGTACATTTTACATTACATTTACGTCATTTAGCAGACGCTCTTATCCAGAGCGACTTACAAATTGGTGCATTCGCCTTATAGCTGTCCTGGCATCGTGAGGGAGCTTGTTCCACCATTGGGGTGCCAGAGCAGCGAACAGTTTTGACTGGGCTGAGCGGGAACTGTGCTTCCGCAGAGGTAGTGGGGCCAGCAGGCCAGAGGTGGAAGAACACAATGCCCTCGTTTGGGTGTAGGGACTGATGAGAGCCTGAAGGTACGGAGGTGCCGTTCCCCTCACAGCTCCGTAGGCAAGCACCATGGTCTTGTAGCAGATGCAAGCTTCAACTGGAAGCCAGTGGAGTGTGCGGAGGAGCTGGGTGACGTGAGAGAACTTGGGAAGGTTGAACACCAGACGGGCTGCGGCATTCTGGATGAGTTGTAGGCACAGGCAGGGAGCAGATGATAGGATGGAAGAGGAGAGAGTAGCGGGAGAGAGAGAGCGAAGGTTGCGACGGCACATTACTGCCGGAGACCTGGAACTCCACGTGGGTCGTGCGTGCAGGGACCACCAGGTTAGAGAGGCAACAGCCTCGCGGTGTGAGGCGTTTGTATAGCCTGTGCGGAGAGGAGAGAACAGGGATAGACAGAGGCATAGTTGACAGGCTACAGAAAATGGCTACAATAATGCAAAGGAGATCGGAATGAAGTGAACTAAACATCTGGGAAAGCGAGAGAGCGGGGCCTCCCTCACTTACGTTTCACTGAAACACCTAAATATAACTCTCCCAACTTCCACCTCAGAAACTATAATTGTTGTAAACTACAGCGGTTCAATGTTTTCTAGGAATAGACTAACTTAGTTTATTCAGCTAGCTAACTTGGTACAGTATTCTTCCGTGAAAACCGTCCACTTCCACTGAACTGAGTTTATTCCTGTCATAGTGATTATGTGCTATGAAATGCCTGAAGCCACAACCAGGTTTATGTAACAGTCACAGACATGGGTCTGATTTAGTCAAACTAATCAAAGATGGGAAACTGTGATAAGAGTACAATGGGTGTCTACATACACAAACCTGTGCTCAACCACAAACACACACACACACACACCATATATCACAGTGGAATAGCTTTGGACTTCGACTTTTCCTTCATGTGAATGTCAGTGACGTGAGTCCAGAGCCCTTTGCTGTTTTCTAAAAACACAGTCTCTGAGCAACACACATACACACAAACGCACACACACACACACATTCTGACTGGCTCTGAGGCATAAAGGTCAGGTGCTACTGTGTCCAGTGCCCACCAGCGTTACGATCAATAGGCTAAACTCCTCACAGTAAACCAACATGAACATATCTTTACTCACTGTTCATTAAGGAGGAAAACAATAAACTGCTCTCTTTTAACTCACTCACCTGTTCTCTCTCTCTCTCTCTCTCTCTCTTCCACCTCTCTCTCTCCTCTCCCTCTCACTCTCCTCTCCCTCTCCTCTCAATATCTTCTTATTCTCCCTCTCTTTTCCTTCTCTTCCTCCCTTTTCCTCCCCTCCTTCTCTTCTCCCTCTCCATCTCTCCCCCCTCCACCTCTTCTCCCTGTCACGATCGTGTGAATGATGAGACCAAAGCGCAGCGCGTGTTCCGAGAAACATGATGACTTTATTACTTAAAGTGCAACACGAGAAAACAACAAAGAACGATACGTGAAGTTCCACTACTGATAACGACAGCAACAAGGAAACAAAAAACCCACAAACCCCACAGGACAACATACAGCCTAAATATGGCTCCCAATCAGAGATAACGAGCCGAACAGCTGACACTCGTTACCTCCGATTGGGAGTCAATGAATACAAACACCCAACATAGAAATACCACAACCTAGACACCCCAACATAGAAATACACCCAAAACAAATGAACATGAACAACCCTGGCTCAAGAATAAAGGTCCGTGGAGCCAGAGTGTTACATTACCCCCCCCTAAAGGTGCGACCTCCGGGCGCACCAGCAAACAGTCTAGGGGAGGGTCTGGGTGGGCGTCTGTCCAGGTGGCGGCTCTGGCCCAGGTCGTGGTCCCCACCCCACCATAGTCATTACCCACTTACTTAGCCTCCTACACATTACCACCCCCCCACTACACCCCACTGGGTTAAGGGGCGGCACCGGACTAAGGGGCAACACCGGACTACGGACCAGCACCGGGATAAGGGGCAGCACCGGGCTAAGGGGCAGCACCGGGCTAAGGGGCAGCACCGGGCTAAGGACCAGCACCGGGATAAGGACCAGCACCAGGCTAAGGAACAGTACCTGACTAAGTGGCAGCACCGGACTGAGGGGCAGCTCCGGACTGAATGGCGGATCCTGGCTGGCTGGCTCAGGCGGATCCTGGCTGAACGGCTCATGGCTGGCTGAAGGATCTGGCTGCTCATGGCTGGCCGACGGATCTGGCTGCTCATGGCTGGCCGACGGATCTGGCTGATCCTGTCTGGCCGAAGGCTCTGGCTGATCCTGTCTGGCGGAAGGCTCTGGCTGATCCTGTCTGGCGGAAGGCTCTGGCTGATCCGGTCTGACGGAAGGCTCTGGCTGCTCCTGTCTGGCGGAAGGCTCTGGCTGATCCTGTCTGGCGGAAGGCTCTGGCTGATCCTGTCTGGCGGAAGGCTCTGGCTGATCCTGTCTGGCGGAAGGCTCTGGCTGATCCTGTCTGGCGGAGAGCTCTAGCGGCTCCGATCTGGCGGACGGCGCTGAAGGCTCATGGCAGACGGGCGGCTTTGTAGGCTCTGTACAGACGGGTAGTTCAGACGGCGTTGGGCAGACGGACAGTTCAGACGGCGTTGGGCCGACAGGCAGTTCAGGCGCCGTTGGGCAGACGGGCAGTTCAGGCGCCGTTGGGCAGACGGGCAGTTCAGACGGCGTTGGGCAGACGGGCAGTTCAGACGGCGTTGGGCAGACGGGCAGTTCAGACGGCGTTGGGCAGACGGACAGTTCAGGCCCCGTTGGGCAGACGGACAGTTCAGGCCCTCTGAGGCGCACCGTAGGCCTGTTGCGTGGTGCCGGAACCGGAGGTACCGGGCTGAGGACACGCATCACAGGGCTAGTGCGGGGAGAAGCAACAGGGCATGCTTGGCCCTGGGGACGCACCGTAGGCCTGATGCGTGGTGCCGGAACTGGAGGTACCGGGCTGAGGACACGCATCTCAGGGCTAGTGCGGGGAGTCGGAACAGGGCATGCTGGACCCTGGGGACTCCCATAACGCCTAGTGCGGGGAGCCGGAACAGGGCATGCTGGACCCTGGGGACTCACCTCACGCCTAGTGCGGAGAGCAGGAACAGGCCGGGCTGGGCTGGCGACGCGCACCGTATCCCTGGTGCGAGTGGCCGGAACAGGCCGGGCCGGGCTGGCGAAGCGCACCGTATCCCTGGTGCGTGGAGTAGGAACAGGCCGGGCTGGGCTGGCGAAGCGCACCGTCTCCCTGGTGCGTGGAGTAGGAACAGGCAGGGCTGAGCTGGCGACGCACACCGTATCCCTGGTGCGAGTGGC